ATCTATTCAGAGAGCTACCGCCTTCATATTTCTATTCTTGGAGATACTGCCGGCAACTTTCTTGTCATTGATGCGGTAGTTTCCATCTTTGTTCAAGAGACATGGCTGAATCTTAGCCTGGTTATGTTGCAATCTCCACCATGGCTCGGTGCAACGTAATGGCCGCTGCTGTGCTTACTTTGCCGGCCTCGTTAGTGCCGTTTATTGTTCCACTCCAGGCTAAGGCTGGGGGTATTCATGATACCAAACAACGACTGCTTACTTTTCCATAGCGAGTTTGACAGCTATTTTAATGGTCGACATATTTAAGAAGGAATTCATATTCTACTGAGAAATGCACCGATTTTTACTGTTGGTTGAGATGTTTATCCACACGGTTTATGGCGCAAAACTGGAATTTTTTTTGTCACAAACTTGATGAGTGGAAAAAATTTCATTGATTTATTTAACTTGTCAATTTTTCAAATAAACGCCAAAAATTGGCCGTAACTGTTCTGGAATTAATTAGCATTTATTTTCAGCTTCGACACGATTTGGCTTCAACAATTTGCTGAGCATTTGATTTTGATATTCATGTTTAATTGCTCTCAAGTTTCCATAATAGAGGACAAGCACAACAAATAACAATAACTGAGTCGATACCCAAGCTTAGGAGCTTTGGCTATAGACAAAACTGCCTCAACTGCACTCATGCCAAGACAGCTGCCAGAGATCTGTATCTGACCGCGTGCTTAGCACTTCACTACACTGAGATCCGAGCTCTGTCTAGCGTTATGATGCATGTCTCTTCACTGCTATTTCGAGCAGCAAGGAGATTCAAGTAGTTCATTTTCATCTTGATGTTACTTGTATACTTAACGGTTCACGGACTCGATGCTGCGGACGTTTTGGAGGTTTATAATTTTGGACAGGCGAAAATGTGTTGACGCACTACAATTTATTGTAATTGTAAATTATTGCGCTAAGTGAGCTCAGGGGCTGTTTTTAGATTTGTGCGAGGCCGTTCTATTTTAGGTTGTCGATACGTGAACTGATATGATTTTTTGACTTCAACTGAAATATTATTGAACCAACTTAAGTAAGTAGTTTAAATTGTATTTTTTGTATCTATACTTAACAATTTCAATTTGCAATGCAGCTTTTCAAAAGCTGCGGGCTTCATATATCATAGTTTGTGCTGCGAGAAGTTTTCCATAAGTTTTCAATATTGAGTATATGAAGGCCGGTTGCGAGCTCGTGCAGCTTTTAAAAGAGCTTTGATCTTCATTAATAATAGTTTGCTGCTGCAAGAATGTTTCCTTCAGTTTGCAATGTAGAGTCAATGAAGGTCGATTGCGTGCTGCCATAACGCTGCTGAGGAGCTTATCGCGCTCATATAACGGCTCTCTCGGCGCCTCTCACGGCTCCAACACCTCCACATTTCCCGCAGTACTGCGCCATATCCTGTGTACTGGCTTGCTCAAGCTGACTTGCCTCTTCTCATCACCCTCTGATGTGCTGGCATAACTCAAGATGAGGAAATTTATCACGTAATTTTGTGTGATATCGAAAACTTTATTGGTATTGTCCAATTGTGAGAATTTTTTGCGTTTTTTTTTTCATTTTAGAAAATATTCATTGCAAAAATTTGTCAACTACCCTACAGATAAACGACTAGTTAGCTAACTTGATGAGGCATTCCCAATGAAACTTGCAACACTTTGCGGTTGTTCTTACTTATGACGCTGTAAGATTAGAAAGTCATTTTGTACGAGCTCGTGATATACTTACACTTGATATATTATGAATGCTGTTGAAGTCAGAGAGTAACTTGAAACATGGATATTATTTATAGTTCCGGCTGTGAAAAATGCACTTGAATGAAATTGTGTAATTTTTTGGCCAAATAATCTCAACTAAGCCACAGGCTTAGATGCTTTACTTAGATGCCTTTAGATGCTTAGATGCTTTACTTTATGATCCTATAAAGAATTTGCCAAACCGAATCGGGCTGATAACTGATTCCTTGATTCCCTACTAAATACAACACACTCGATTTTGTATCAGGATTATTTCTCACATACATTTGATTTGAATTTGATTGTATCCACTTTTTTCAGTTTCAAACGTGCGCAACAACATCTCCTCTGTATTGCGTTCGACGAGTGCGGGGAAATATTGCAAGGTTTACCCGCGGTATCACATTACTCTTCTTACAAAGACAGTCTTTTAACCACCCGTAGGGTTCTGACGTATGGCCCTCACTGGCGGTTCGTCTCCAGTTATTCTGATGCGGGTGCTGTCATGCCTTCACTCAAACAGCTTCCTTATTTAGTGGAGTTTTTTGTTGCGAAAAATTTGCTGCCCAACAGCTGTCGTTCCTCTTGTGCAAGGCAGGTGTCGTTGCGCTCTGCCACCCACAATTTATTATTTGACGCCATAGGCATGAGCTTTGCAATCGATTTTTTTTCTGATGCATTAACTAACCTTTCAACAATGCTTTGACGCTTTAGGTAATGCGTTTCATCGATAATAAGCCTTACTGCCCTTATCGTGTGCCGAAAAATGTTCAGATTTCGGCATGAAGTTTCAAATCTGGAAGAAGTGCATGAAAATGATGATGGAAGGTTTGAAATGATAATTTTGCCGGTGTTAGTGCGCCTTATAAAGCCCATTAGGGTGAAAGCTTTCAATTGAAATCTTCTTTGCCGCACACGTAATTACGTAATATTTGGAGCTACTACCTCTCTCCAACTGACGTCCACCGGTGTTGATTAATGGCCATTTTACGTGACAGTTCCAAGTGACGTTGTTGGTACATGACTACAGAAGAATAGCTGTCAACCGCCCCTCGTCTTACTTCTTATTGGTGCAATGTGAGGCTAAAATCACAGAAAGAATGGTTAGAAATTATTCAAATGTAAAGTCGAATATTATCACACGGTTTAGATTATTCGTTAGAACACAGTGACGTTATGAGTGTTGGCTCGTGCTGTACCCAATATTTGTCAGTTGACAACTACATGACGCGCAAGAGTCTGGCGTTCGCATGCGAGCACTCGGCGTGTCCACTCCCACTGCAGCCGGCATAAGTTGTCACGTGAAGCAGTCATCGTAGTTTTCTTGGCTCATGTCGTGAGTTACGTTATATGATTGTCATGTTCGGTGAGCTCTTAGCTTACCGCGAAAAAATGTGGCGCTTCAATTTAGTCCAAATTAAATGTGTGCTTCGCAACTGTTGGCTTATTTCAAACCCGTACGGTATGTGAGTAGTTATAGTTTTGATGATATACAAATTTACTTGAAAATTTACACAGTTAAAAATTTTTATCGTCCAAAATCGAAGGCTGGCGTAGAACCTTTCCCGTGAGAATACTTGCTTCATATTTCTATATATATTTTAAATTGCAATATATGCTTGACTCGACGGCTATTATATCATTCATTGTAATTTTTTATACTAAAGTTGAAGAACTCGTTAGTTTCAAGACAGTTTTTCGCTTCATTCGCTAGGTAAGGATTCAAAATTTATTCATTGCTGAGACTACTATGAAAAATTTATTGGCAGCTGCTGAACCACGGTCTGCAGCTAAGTAAAATACTTGTTTCGTAATCGTGACTTGAGATTATGAATGACCACACTCAGGCTTCGCTGAATTGGTTACGAAATACTGACTAAACATCATGTTCAAGCTCGCTATTTCATTAAATGTACAAGAAAGCGTTGCATTATGTACGGAGTCATCGTCGATGTAGTTATACAGCCTAAGATGTGATGCGCACGGTTCATTGTAATTGTCGATGATGTCAGTCATCCGTTGCCCGGCCTTGACACCTAACGTGCGAACCGCCGAGGTCAAACTATTAGTTGGGGGACGAACTCAGCTGCCAAAATGAGGTATATTATACCTTCGAGTTAATAGTCTTGGTGTGACGCAGGATTGCTGCGTCGTTTTGCCTTTGCGTATGAGTAACGTGGGATTTTGTCTCTAATGATATGTGCCACAACCGTGTTCAATTTACAATCAAGTTGTGTTCACAGTGCACACAATGGTTTATCACCATAGGTTTTGCACATCGCCCGTACGATGTCGCTGAGTTTTATAGATTAACTGATTCTATAACTCTATCTCTCTGCTGCAGCTATAATATTTTATCAACTCACGTTTGTATTAACAATACTCCGTGTGAGGAACCAGAAAACTTTACTTAAATTTGCCCATTTTATCATGAGTACGTAATGTATGGCAAGAATTGTTGTTTGAGGAATTAATCATCGTCGTCTATGTCGTCTTGACTTGCTTATCCAGCAGTCCCGTACATAAACAATTTAAGACACTCAGTGTGCGGCCGAACAAAAAATAGTGGAACAATTTGCTAATCGCATTTTTGCACAGCTAATATTCAAGGCGTTTCACCGCTTGTAGTCGATCCTTAGAGTAACGTGCTCCATATTCCGTGCTCAATTTATGTCAGATTTAATCTCGAGTTCACGGTCATGTCGTGATTTTATAAAGAGGAACGGAATATTCTGTACGTTTTTCATTCCGATCATTTCTCATTTGTGTCAGGAATATTTATAACGCATTTGCTTATCTGTTTCTCTATTCAATAACGCACTTTTATTTGCGCTCGATTGGGTCTGTTTTCACGTGCTTGTGCAGCTGAACGTGTCGAGGATGTATACCGTTAGTCGGTGAATTATAGACATGAATTAATTTATGCTGGATAATTCACGTATTGAATTATGAATCGTTTCCTTAAATTGTTCCCAGTTTATATGATAAATGATATGTTTTTAATTTCACTCAACTCGGGCGAATTGTTGAAAATATTTCATCTGCGGATGCAAAAACTTGTGAGCGTCTCTTTATGAATTTTTCTTTCAAACCATGAATTAGGGAATTTTCTCTGAGTTCTCCTTTCAAACAATATTAGGGAATTTTTTTCTATGTACTGAAAGGGAAAAGGGATTCCTCTTCCAACATCGATTATGTGTTAATCTTCGTATTGTATTGCAGATCACTCCTATGAAGAACTTGTGGTGCGCTGGAGGAGAAGAGGGGAGCAAGGCGGACGGTGGCTCCTCAAGCAAGGCTGGCGCTGCTAACCACATCTTCAACTCTGCTGCTGAGCAGACCTGGAGAAATGCAGCCTGGAGCACCGACAGCAGCGGTCATCCTGGCCAGCAACATCAGCCGCAGCACCACTATGGTAATAATAACAGCAGCTCTAAATTTATTAGTAGGTATTACAAATTATATTTCGAGTCAAAGGAGTTTTCATCGTTTTTTAACTAGCCTAATTAAGCGTCGTGTTTCCTCGTTAAGAAGGATTTAATTTACTTTTACTACCTATAAAGAAATCTTTTGTATGTATTGTTTTTTTTTCTTGAGAATAAATTTCCTGCTGAAAACAATGCTATTTTTAAGCCTCCGCTGAGCTCTTGAATATCTGTTTTCGGCTGATCTTTCTTGAATAAAAAAATTAGTAACTCTTAAGATAGTAGATGTTCATATCTTAGAATGTTCAATTTTTTATGTCGATAGGTCGATATAGGAGGTAGAAAGATGCACTGAATAATAAAACGAGCCAAACTTACGCAATTTAGTTATGCTTAACGATTTCTTGTCAGTACAATGGAATAATTTTGATTAGTTGATTGCAGGCTGTTGTTGTAAGAGTCTTACGCATACACAACAATAGATAGGACCGTGGAAATGTGACAACCATTTCATTTAAACACTTCAATATCTAACTTACTAAACCTAGACTCATTTATATTGCATATATATCCCTTCATGCTGAGATGTACCGTAGACTACTTATGTATTACCGTTGGCGATGTTGAAATTCTTCTAATCTTTTAATTTGTACCTTTTTTTACGAAACGGAATGTCTTTGATTTGCGTAGAAACTGTACATAGTATTATGTATAAAGTTTTAGTAGAAATATGCAGGCTTCTTGTTGGCTGAGCACGAAATGAACTCAGAAGCTTTCTATAAGCACCCTTAGTATGTGTTTTGGACGTAGCAGTCCAAGGCGACGCTGGAGCTAAACCTATCTTCGTGCTAATTTCATTAGCGCATTTTCTCATTTATGGAAAAAATGCACGATTGTGCTCGCCATGTCCGTCCGTCCGTCCGTGACCTCAAGTTTTCGTCGACGAGAAGATGCGCTCTCTGTCACTCAATACAGTGAGTACTGAGTTATATTATTTCGTTATTGCAGAGCACGGGGTGGGCGGTGGTCTGGTGATGGGTCGTCCTGGTGGTGGCGCTACAGGTGGGGGCGGTGGTGAGGTGCACTCCACCCGCCACGTCGTCACGGACGGCACGGGCGTCGTCAAGATGGTCGAGCAGCTGCTGGGGTCCTCGCCTACCGGCACCAAGGATATCGACAGAAGCATGGCTAACCTCTCTCTCCGTGTAAGACCTCGTACTATCTATACTAATACTTGTCTATTTACATTTGACTCTCATTGATATTTTCTTCTTTCTTATGAACGACGAGCGTTCTTCATTTTTTGTTTCAATAAAGAACGAGAAATGGATAACAGAACAAATGAAAAAATGAACATATAAAAAAGAGGCTTCTTTATCAGTAGCCGATTTTTTACTCCTTGCCAATCAGTCATTTTAAAAATGTTTCTTTCGTCGTATCAGGTTTCATATGACAGTTTTTTGTGAACCTTCATATGGACAACTAGTGATAGTTATGAATAAGGCTGGTATAGCAACATGACCCGGACGTTGACTTCTTTTTCTAATGTATTATTATTTGATTAGTTATTTTATTTGCACTCGTTCCCATGTCTTCATTTTCACGTTTTCTAAATCTGTCATTTTTCAAATATCACAATCATATGTAAACTGTCTATTTTTCTAATTGATCAGAACATCTTGGTTTTTACCGTGGGCATGTCTAGAATCTTTAATTGAGACAGGGTGGTTTGTGACGTTTCAAATTTTCCTGATTTTTCTTAAAGCTTTGTTGTCCTGCATTGAATCTCGTTTTAGTTGGCTTCTTCATTGTGTGCCCAAAACTGACTTGTATGTTCGGATTGTGTGCTCGAATTGAATATTTTAAAATTATTGAAAATATATTATCAATTATGTTATTCAACATATAAGTGGAGTTATACGCATGCCGTGACGCCCTCTACTTATTGAGATGGTTCGCAGATGGAGTTCAGACTTGCGTTGATCGAGTTGCTAAGTAATCTATATCAATTTGAGCAGAATGGTTCAAGTGAAGCCGGCAAGGATAAGAAAGACAAGCCCGCCTCCCCGTACGACCCCAACAAGAAGGATGTCGAGAACGGCAACCTTAGCGGACAACCCAACGGCATCGTTCAGAACGGCCTTGATGACGATAAAGGCTTCAAGTGAGTTGATTACGTACTTGGAATTATCTTTATTAGGTCATATTTAGTTAGCTTAAGTAATTCATACATTCAATTTTGATGTACAGGAATAAATTCGGCCAACACGAGTGTCGAAAACTAGAGCCGTCATTCAAAGTAGGGGATTCTCCTTAAATTTTTTTTGTTTAATTTCCTTTATAAACACTGGCTATTACTACCATTGAAACTTAGAAATCTTCTAGAGATATTCAAGGGATGGAGAGTTACTCTGAACTGAAATTAGGAACGCGTACTGGAGCTTGCAGTCTTGAAATAACCACTGGTGACTTGTTTGCTTGAACGTCATATTCAGGATCTGTTATTGCTACTCACTGAAGTGAAATTACATAGAATAAGTGAAAGGTACGGCTATTCTTTCGCTCTACGGTCGGCGTCGTTAAATATACAGTGGCTGCAAAAAGTATCCGACAGAAAGGGAAAACTTTTTTTAATTAAAGCTTATTCAACAAAATAATATTAACCAACTTTATTCTAATGTAAACTTACATGGGAAATACAAATATTATATCAAAACAAAAACATCATTAAGTGTTGACTTGATACTAGCAATTTTGTAAAAGTCGAGGTTAAAAAAGGTAAAAGTCAAGGGTTTAAAAAGAATCCAACACGTACTAAACAAATTTACTCAACACTTCGTCATGTGACCTCTAACAGCCAAAACTGCTTCTAACCGATTAGAATACTTATTCACAAGATTAAAACGTATGTTAATAGGAATTTTAGCCCACTCTTCTTTGTATATTTCTTTCATTTGCTACGATTTCTTGGATCTCTCTCCTGTACCCTCAATTTCAATTTTCGCCACAGATTTGTAATCGGATTGAGGTCAGGTGATAAGCTTGGCCATTCCAATAACCCAATGGCCCTCTTCTGAAACCATGCAAGAGTTGCTCTAGCCATGTCCTTATGGTTCAATTTTTCGTTCAATTCCAATTCAATTTTTCAAGGTTCAATTTTTTCGGCTGACTTCACGAGACATCTCTCAAGAATGCCCCGATATACATGCCTCTGTGTCGGATATTTTTGCACCTACTGTATATACCAATAATTTCGAATTAGAACCCGGCCATACTAAGAAGTAATCATTTATTAGGAACCTACACCGGGCTCCACTCGGCTGGCGTTCTCTTGGTTCAATGTTAAAATCTAAATATTCTTGTATGTAATTATTAACGGCATTAGTTGATTATACCTTGCCGAGAAACGCTTTGAAAGTTAGCTAAAAAACGTTTACAGTAATCGATAAATTCATTATAAATATTTAAGCATTTCGTGTCCATATTATTCATGATCTACCTTGATGTTTTTGACGAATCTTATTTATGTAACTGGATATCTATTGATACGGTACTGCTACTTTGCAAATGTTGTAATTGCTATTCTTTAATTTTTGTCTTATTGCTGCGCTTGATTTACAGCCGTCAAGGCACGCCGTCAGAGGAAGACCTGAACAAGAACACCGGCGTGGCGGGTGGCGGTCCCGTGGGCCTCATGCCCGGCGTCGTGGTGAAGGATGAACTGGTGACTGGGGTCGCTGGTGGTGTGGTGATGGGCGGGCCTACGACCCAGCAAATGTTGGGTCACCTCGACCACACGGCTTTTGATGGTGTGGGCGGCATGGGGGGACACCACCATCATCATCACCATCACACTGGCATGCTCGATCCATCGTCCATGAGCGCTGCTATGGGCGGCGTGAGCATGGCCGGCATGGGTGGCGTCAGTATGGGCATGCCTGGAACTATTGGTGGCATGGGTATGGGCTCGAGCATGGGGCAGGCTGGCGGGATGAACAACGCAGCGGCGGTGTTGGGTGGCGTTGGTGGACTCGGTGGTGGGGTGGGCATGGCGGGTGGTGGTTTCAACAACCCTGCCTCGGTCGCCGACTACACCAGCATGGTGAACAACATCTCCATGGACTCGCCTTCTCTCCTGCAACAGCAGCAGCAGCAACAACAGCAGCAGCAACAGCAACAAGCTGCAGCAGCAGCCGTGCAGAACTTCGCAGCCGCGGCTGCAGCGGCCGCACAGCAACAGCAGCAGCAGCAACAACAGCAGCAGCAACAGCAACAAGCTGCAGCAGCAGCCGTGCAGAACTTCGCAGCCGCGGCTGCAGCGGCCGCACAGCAACAGCAGCAGCAGCAACAACAGCAGCAGAACGATAACCAGGTGAGATTTTTCGCAGCGAATTCCATTATTTTTTTTTTTAAACATTCAAGTGTAATGTTATTATAGTTACTAGCTGTCTGTCTGACGGAACTTGGATTTGCGATCCCTTGCTCACTAAAGATTCTTGATATTCAGAAAATGTGCCGCGAATGCGAAAACTCTTGTGTCTAGCAGTGTGCAGATAAAACCGACTCAAACACATTGATGCAAATATTCTCTGCTATCGTCCTCCAAAATGTTTTCTTGCTGGCTTTTAGTTAGAAGATTATAATATGTTTAAGTTCTGATATTTAAATGAAAGTAGTTTTCGTCGGCCTGAGTTCTTCATGTGTGAAGAGGTAAGTGCATTATTTGTAGCGTATTTTGTTCTTGCGTCAGAAATTTGTTTGGAAGGTGCTGAGTGCAATCCTTTCACCAATTTTGCCCCGATTACTTTACTACGTCTTGTTGATTACGACGTCTCGTCTGAGTTATTTTAGGGCTTAGAATAACCGTGGTAACGCCGAGGATAATTTAAATTCTCTACTGGTCCCTTGATCATCTCTTTTCGTATAAATCACTTGATAAGAACGTCAAATTGATATTGAAGCGAGGTAGGATCCTTCATTGTGGCGCGATCGATCGCTTATTTCTCCCGTTTACCGAGTACATCTCTACCAGATCAGTGGACATTCTTATCATTAATCATTAGCATCATTGGTGCACACCGCGAGCTGACTTCTTTCTAAATCATAAATTAGGTTTGTCAATAAAACTAAGTTATTCTGGAGTTCTGCATGGAATTTTTCGGAAAAATGTTTTCATAATTCAATTTAAATAAGGTTCCAAATCCCTAATTTCGCTGCTTATTCTGTTGACCCAGTCTTGTTGGGTTGCGATAATCACCCTTGTTGTTGACCCAATCATGTTGGCATGGTGATGATCGCACCTAAGTTCGACCAATATATTGCAGACTGAATTCCGATTGTTATTGATGCGTAAAATAATTATCAGTATACTTATTTCCAAGAATTCATTGCCCATTGAGACGAAAAAAGCATGCAGATTTTAGTAAAACTTCAAAATCATGGCAATCTTGTAACCTGCATATATTTCGTTTCAGTTTTTTTCAAGGGTTTGATGACCCCTTTAGCTCGGTCTTTGATATAGGTAATTCTAGCTTTCGTGAGCAGTCGAACAGATGCGAACTCCCATAAAGTGACGTGATGCTCTAGCCTTTGGTTCAATAATTTCACATCGAAATTGATCGCCGCACTAAAAGGCTTGAAAACTAACATGTGCGTGTTTGTTCCTTGAGTGGCTAGAGTGATATGGACACTTTATCCTGAAACGAGTTGTGAGAACAAACCAGATTACAGAACATAGCCCCAATCATTACTAATCTACGACGTACAACCAATAAACATATACATATACAATACATATACATATAAAATACATTAACAAACACACATCAATCAAATTTACTTTAAACAATACACAAACATACTAAATACGTGCCCGCGCACATCTCTCTCAACACTCGTCACTATCTGGTTCAAAAATTTTAGATAGTCCCAAGCATTCTCTAGGTGCTGTGCAAATTTCATGAAAATCGGACTGTTGGTTCAAAAGATTCGATTTTTGAAAAAAAGCGCCGGATTTCAGGGAAAAGTTTCTGGCCAGGATGTCAGGATCCGCCTATATAGGAAATCACGAGTTCTGAAAAAAAGTGCCCCCTTGGGGTTTTACCTGACTAAAGCGAAAGAAAATCCTCGCCTTCTACGCGATGGCGAGGACTAAGACCAAGTTTTTAATTCACATTTCGCGGGCTTACGCCCGCGAAATTTGCTCGAGTTCTCCGCATTGAACAAGCTCGTTGGCTCATTCAGGTCTGCTCATAAGATCTCAAGTTATCCCTTGTGCGCTGCCAAATTCAATGTTCTCATTATCACGCCCATGTATTTTTTTCGCCCATCTTATTCCCACCGTTGCCCTGCATTAATCAATCTCAAACTATACCATAAAAACGGGCACATAGCGCCGCCAGAACTTTGCTGGGTCCCGGCCATCCTGCGATAACTGAGACATGATTTTGATACCGCACTGCCGTTTCCCCCATCAAATGTTCTAGTCCGCCTGCATTGTTTAGGTTTAGGTCAGGATGAATTAAACTGTGCGTTGAATGTAAATCAAGTAAAGAAAATGGCATAGCGTATGCGAATTCTTTATGAAGAATACTTGTTAGAGGACTCGTGCATGGAGGGAAGAATTCGTCGCTGCTGGTCGTTGCTATCTCAAGTTTTGGACTTCGAAACTGTGAGAATTGTGGAGAAATTGCGAGTGGAGTTTTTGAAATTTTAACTATCCCTTCACTGTTACTATAGTGTCCCTTCAAATGTAACAGCTTCATTTTCTATGCTCTCACATAGAAACTTTTTTCAAGTAAAAAATTTCTAACGGTGACCGCAGAAACAAAAAGCTCTATGAAACTGTTCAGACAAACCGTGCTCTCGTCGCCAACCAGGTAAACTGTAAGCGACGTAATGAGAAAACCGTTCTGCAGGCAGGATCAAAATCAATTTTATTCATAATGTAGTATCGGCCATGTTACCGTTTTTTTATTTATTCTGGAGCGATAAAATTGAATAGAAAATCGTGTAATCAGAATTGATTATGTTTATTTTAGCAACTGTAAGTCTATATCTGATCAGCCATTATTCTTGCGAGTCAGTTTTATCCAACAAATAGAAATTATCGTTAATCGACTATCTCAAATCGATGCCGTGATTGAGTTTAGCACTTTAGTTGGTGACTATCTGAGCTGACTTTTTAGCTCATTTTCTCATTTACGGAAAAAATGCCCTATTGTGCTCGTCATGTCCGTCCGTCCGTCTGTCCGTCCGTGACTTCACGTTTTCGTCGACGAGAAAATGCGCTCTCTGTCACTCATTAATTGGAGTGAGTACTGAGTTTTATTTTTTTTTTGTAGTACATGTTTTGGCTTGTCTCCTTTTATTTAAAAACTCGGTCTTCATTCCTCTTGTGCAATGAGTTGAATCGCTAAGTTTACTCGAGGTTCATATTCTGCTTTCAAATTTCCAGAGTACGCAGAAAGTTTCCGTTTATTAATTCCAATGAAAATACTTGTACTGTTTACCGAAGCGCCGGAGCTCCATAGAAGATTGCGTAAGTTTCATTTAGTATTGCATGGAATGTTGAGGTCGGGTATCGCGGATGAAAGTAAATTCTCATGTTAATCACGTTGAGCTTCTCTGTACAATAATTTCTTTCGAGAAGAGCAGGGGAAGTCTCTTGATGATGTCTGTCGTGATGCATTCTCTGCAGTCTCCTCACGACTTGAAGGTTTCCTGTGATATTTAAAGCCCTTCACTTTCTTCACCTGCCTATTGGTTGCTGCTTGAAAGTTGCAAATTAGCACCAACCTCATACGACAGAAATGCTCGCGAGCGACTCTGATTCGTCTTCATTTTTATGAACACTACCAAGTTGTCATTTTCTTGTCGAGTCCTTTTATGCGAGCAAAACAGTTGTTTATATATATATTTTTATTTTTGCGTAGAAATATCGATACTTTATCATTCACATTTTCGCGTGTAATTTTAAAATATGCCTCTTAGTGCCACTTTTGCTCTGTTACAACAATTTCATTTTTTTATACTTAACGACTTGGGCCACTTTATTTTATTTTTTTCTCTAAAAGAAACTTAATTTATTCGTATCGCGTTTCTTAAGCCGCTTCTTCTTTACGGAATGTCAATGCAAGAGTTGTAGTCGTTTTACGCAGCTATATATTGCTATCTGCATTCTTCAAATGATTGGTTCATGTAGGCACAGTTTGATTTAGATCGCTGTTCGCTATCGTAGACGTTAGCTTGTATAACGGCTGTGCAATCCTCGTTAACCGCACACAGACCGCAGCCCCCGACCGTAGAAGCTTCTGCCTGTACGTCAATTGGGGTGCCCGCTGCGCTGGTTTTTTGTAGGCGTCTCTCGTATCGCTTCTTCCGTTATAGTTCCGTTGCATGATGCCGAGTTGCCAGCGACAACCTCCGGCAAATGGCAATTGTTTTATCTCTTGAACTCTCTTGCAACTTGTTGATAGGTCGACTACCACCATCTGGTTCTGCTCATCACTCGGCTCCGTTGCTCATAGGCTCGCAGCACCATCATTGTTTTATATATCTTTACACTCGTGAGAGCTGAATGGTTATTTTATGAGAGTAATTAAGAATTTTTCGTTTAAATAAATAAATAAAAATATGTATAATTTTGAACCAGCCTTCATGAATTGCTCAATGTTATTTATAAACTTCTTTATCTGCAAAATTAATCTAAAAGCAATTACTTCCCCGTTTAGGCAACCTAAGGAGTGGATTAATCCTTGCTTCACCGTCGCTCTTATTGAATGTTTATTTATCGTTTCGGAGCTAATGTTTTTATTGTAACTTCAGCCAAAACTCGTTTACTTTGACGCAATCACTTTTGTCTCTGCTGAGTATGTGATGTGATGAATTCTAGGGTTGCTCGTCTTTGCTGATTAATTGCTTGAGCCTCCTCCATTAGTCCGTCATTCGCATCTGCTCACGGGATTAATGTGAAGCAAATCCCACGGGCGCTTTAACCTTTAGTGCGTGGGCTCGTTCCTGCTATTTCTCGAGGCCTTCGCTTTCATGTTCGAATTGGTGAAATCCCTAAAATCGATAATGTGCCCGGTAAAAAGGTTTTATTGCTGAAAGAACGCTTGATGTTTGGATATTGGATAAGCTGCGTGAAATAAGGAGCAAAATTCAAACGAAATCAGTACGGTGTTCCCTGGTTTTATGCTTTTGATTCATTTTTATTTACAACTTATCGTGTTTTTTATTTACTGGTACTTGTTGCACTTACAATAAATGCTACACACTTAGTCGACATAGAAATTTTTTATTTACCTATTGCTTCATTTTTAATCTACTCTTTAGGGAAAAACAAAATTTGGTATACAATTTAGATTTTTC